TTTGTTTTGCATAAAGTTTGTAAGAAAGTTAGAAAGTAATACAAAATAAGTTTTGGTCCAATGGCCCAAGGTAAATAAATGTAGATATTCAAAGGAGGGGCAAATATTTCCAAATTCATACACGTCTACGACAGACAATGGTTAGACTTCCAGCTGAGGGAGACACATCAGAGCTAATCAATGAAACACTCCACTTCAAACAGGTAATCTTAGTGAAACCGAAGGCAATCCTAGGCACTACTCTCCATCTGGAGGGAATTCCCGCACAGGTGCATCTCTTTTCTCAACCTGCCCACCGCAGAATCAACAAGGTCACCCGTCAAGAAGTAAGTGTGTTGCTATTACGCCAGGATCCACCTGAACAGGCCAGCTCTAACCTTATGACTACAAAAAGAAAGCATCTAGCTTTCGTATCTTAAAGAGATCATTATTCTTTCTAAACCTAAGAGTTCGAAACATTAACAGGTATTCTCTGAGTTCATTCCCACCCCTGTCTTAGACTAAGAACTCATTTACTATCGCTGAGAGCTAGTGGATTATTTAACATCATCAATATTTGACAGTATACAATATTGTCTGAACAGCAGCATGAACTTTGGGATGCTCAAGTCTGTGATGCGGACCACTCCCTCCTTCTGGAAATCCTTCCATCCAGAGGCATTGTCATCACATCCTTGCCCAAGTTCTCCAACTACATCCTGACACCTTCTAGTCCCCTCTGTCCACTTGCAATTCAGTGACACGGTTCCTTAAGGCTTATTCCCTGACCCTGCTCACTCCACATCCTCTTCCTGGTTCATCTCTTTCCGGCCTGCGGTTCTGCAGTTATAACCAGCACATAAGTATACACCGGCGAGACTCTCCTCAGAGTTCCACAGTTATGGCCAGTCGCCTCCTGACATCTCTCCGTGGCAATCTCAAAAGCACCTCAAACTGTGCCCACAGGCAACCTGCGACCTTATACCCTAAGACTTGGTCCTTGTCTCAGACATGGACCCAAACGCCACTTATCTGCACAAGCCAGGAACTTGTCAGGGTCATTCTCGTACCTCCCTCTCCCTCTCACTACCATCCAACCTATTTCTTCACTCAGTAAGTCCTTACCAATAACACTATGTGCCAAGCCCTGTTACCACTGCTGAGCACTGAACAAGAGATTAAACTCCTGGCTCTCACAGAGCTTACGTCCCCACGGTTGGGGATAAAATACGAACACTGTAAGTTGCATATGTAGCATGTTGGGTGATGATAAGTTTAGGTTTTGTCAATTTTACTTTTAAACATATAGTGAATTCATTTTTCCACTTCCCCACCTCTACCAATTAGTCTAATAGATCTTAGTTTTTTTTTATATTAACTGCTAGAATATTCTTCTCACTAGTCTGCCCAAATCCTCTGTTTTCCTTCCAATATACTGTCCATTGTTTAGCCAAAAGCATCTTTGGATGATGACTATATGGTTAACATTTATTCGTCATTTACTACACTAGACACCGTCCTAAGGACTTGATGTGTATCATTTAATCTCAGTGACAGCCCCGTGTCATTACCTGATTAATATCTGTCTCCTCTACTGGTCTACCACCTCCATTGCGGCTTCTTTTACTCACTAGATTTATCCTCAGTATTTGTCCCTGCATATTGTAGACTGTGAATAAGTATTTGTTTTATAATGAATAAACTCTACCAGTGTTTAAGTTTATAGGAAAGAAGGAATGTTTTCAGTGGTGAATATTTATCAATTTAAAAAAAAACCTTGGGCCGGGCGCGGTGGCTCAC